AGAATGTTCTGGAATATAATAGTTTCACTTAAAGCAATAAAATCAGTATTGTACAGGCTGCTATGATAATATTATACAGTACTTATTTGTTAACCAAAAATATAGAATAGTGGAAAATGAAGCATATAGTAATTACTTAAAATATTTTACATCAAAGTTTGGTCTGATTCACTTGTTACAGATTCATCTAAACTGATTCTAATGTAGAGATACATGACCGTGTCTTACTCTACAGACAATAAACCAAACATTTAATTTAATTCCAATCAATAAACAGTTTCCCAATTTCTACTAAAATATGACCCACTCATTCATTCACTACAAAGTTAAATGTGTGTGCAAACTTGTTTTGTCAGTAGCCATTTCTTAGACAAGAAAATGTTTTAAATGTACTCGCAATAATCTCCGTGGGCTGTGTGTTTCACTGACTCTTGGCCGTCACAGAGAAAGCAGATTTAACAAAGGTTTAGAGATAACTGGATCCAGCTGGAGGTCTTATAGGTCTAAATATCCATATATCAGAGTATACTCTGGATTAACAGCTCTAGCTGCACAAGTACTGTGCATGTTCAGGACTTCCCTTTGAGAGCAGGTTTTCACTGTAATGAGCATTAATAAAAGAAAGCTGCGCTCAAAGCAAACACACAAACACTTGAAGCACATTCTGAAAGAGTGACATCACAATGCTGACTTACAGATCGTGTCTGCGGAGAGGCCCAATGAATGAATCACATGGAGGCTGATATTTATTTATTTCAATTGTGGACAATACAATTGCAATTTACAATTATATTTCAAATAATTGTAGGCTTGTCACACAAAGGAAAAGGAGCAGAAATAAGTAGTAAAATCGTATGCTGCCCTTTCTTAAAACATGTACAAATTGAATACAAAATTATTTTTTATTTTATAGTTATGTTCTCCTTTTTCTAATCATTCATTTCAATTTCCCTTCTGTTGCTTTGATTTTGTTCTTAAAGTTGTACAATTGTTTACGCCACATTAGCACCAGTTTCCATTCAAGAATAAACATAAAAGAAAACATTAAATCAACTCCTAAAAAAAATATGGATCTCAATGTAACCAGGATATGTGTAAATTACAGCAGCGAACAACTGAAACAGCTGGAATAAAGGCCTGCAGGCGTTTGTGCTTCGGATCCCGCCTCAGTCTCTGTCACTTTCCGACATGACCGTGTTGGTTTAAATATATACAATCTATGGTTGTAATGAATTCATGAGTGAGCAGCTCATAGTTCAAAGGTCATTAATGTTTGAGCTGGATGGGCGCTTGTTTTAACGAGACCAGCGGCCCACGAGGCCAAAACCAGGGATCTGCAATAATAACCAAATGGAAGGTGTGCAAAAAAGTATTTATTTCTGTAACATTATTAATAATAAGAACATTACAGGCCAGCCCACAGTAATAAGAACATTACAGGCCAGCCCACAGTAATAAGATCATTAAAGGCCAGCCCACAGTAATAAGATCATTACAGGCCAACCCACAGTAATAAGATCATTACAGGCCAACCCACAGTAATAAGAACATTACAGGCCAGCCCACAGTAATAAGAACATTACAGGCCAGCCCACAGTAATAAGAACATTACAGGCCAGCCCACAGTAATAAGAACATTACAGGCCAGCCCACAGTAATAAGAACATTACAGGCCAGCCCACAGTAATAAGAACATTACAGGCCAGCCCACAGTAATAAGAACATTACAGGCCAGCCCACAGGCCTTTCCCCGCGGTTTACGGGCTGCTGGTTTCTCAAATTGCGCACACAGGGCGATTCGTCTGAATTTACCGTATGAAGTTTGTCATTCTTGCTACAAAAATAATAATAACTTAAAATACAAGCTCCTCTGGTGTTTGACAGCCCGCTTCCTTTTCACCGCGGTGATCCCATGATGCATTACGATAGTTGTTGGTAAAAGTCTTTCTTTAAAAGACAGAGGTCAGATGCGGAAAGTGTGCTTGCTCCCAGTCTTCTCTGCCCAGTAAGGCCTGGACTCTGCAGGCACCAGTCCCAAGGCCTCAGAGACCTGTTTTCCTGAGGCGCACAGACTCAGTGCCGTGTTGCCTTGCAGCTGTAGCAGGATTTTTACACAAGCCCTCTTCGAATTGTTCCCTGAAGTCGTTGGCTGTTCCATCGCCGGTGAAAGGGTCAGAGATCTCACCGAGTCTCTTACGACATACACTTTGTAAAAACACATTTTGTAAAAACAACCATACTTTGTATGAGAATATAAAACACAAACATATTCTAACATGATATGAAAGTGAACATTAAAAGCCCTCTTCCTTATATCAACTTCAAAGAAAATTACATATATTTTTCCTGACAAAGGAGAGGAGGGAACCAGGACCCTGTATGAACCATGTTTTAGAAAGAAACACATTTACTGTGTTTGAACATTAGAAACGCTCCACACGCGAAGAACTGAGCTTTACGCATTTTTGTACGCTTTTTTCTTAAAAAAAATTTTAAATAATGTATGGTACATTTCATTTACACATTTCTTTCAAAAATAGTTTCTCTCCCAGAGTGCACCTGTCCTCCAACTGAAAGACAATATTGAATGCATGTGCTTTAGGTGATATTTCTACAAACACCAGTGCATAGTTCTGGTATTGACCAATTGAAGCATGTACTGACCATTTGTGACTGGGAGGGAGAATTGACGCGCTAAACTTGAGCCTTTCATTTTATACACTTTATTGATTTACAAAATAGAGGAACAAATACTAGCTCAAATACTAGCGGTCAAAAACTGTGTGCTCACCCAGTCACTCACACACCTGCACTGGAGAGCCACCCATGATAACACATCCTCCACAACCACACTCCCATTCCTTCATTTCACCTCACAACAAGTGATGGCTGCACACAGCAGCATTCTTCTCTTTTGAGTCATTGGACTCACTTAGCAACGAATAGTTTTGACAGCTCTTTGCTCACGCACGTGGTTAAATTATGTAACTCTGTCCGTTTCTAAATATATTTATATCTGTGTTGATAGTTTTTACAACCTGCTGAGTCACTATAACTTTCCATTTCCGGTGCTGCATTGTTCTTTAAGTGGTATAATATTTAATGTCAGATTAAAAGACTTGTACATTCTTAACTTCAGTAAAGTGATACACTGAACAAAATGTGTCCCTTTTCATAGAAAGAATACATTTTACCATTTAAACATGAATTGAACCACATGTGTTTTATTTCAATCAAAATCTGTCATTATAGTTTAAATTAGACACAGTTTGGCTTCTGTTTACAGCAGGATTCATATCAAATAGTCTGAGTTAGTTCATATGACACAGGCACAGATGTACTTTGGTGCGAGGCCTTGGAGAGACTTGTAACAATCAGAGCTGTTTTAAAGTCTCTGTGCAGAGTCCTGAGAACCTTCTTCTCGTCAGGACTCGAGCTGCAGCTGAACAGTTTAAACCTAGATTTAAACATTGTCAGAGAAGAAAACTGTCTCACATTTGTCTCACAGACTGTTCCAGATTCTATAAGTTATAGGATATAGTTACAGCAGCAGTTGATGGTGTGTGTGTGTGTGTGTGTGTGTGTGTGTGTGTGTGTGTGTGTGTGTGTGTGTGTGTGTGTGTGTTAGGCTAACCCACCACTGGAGTGAATGAATTATGCCATTTGTCTGTAGTGTAAAGAAAAGTGTTTATACTGATCGCCTGTGTGTGTTTTATAGTTTTATGTTTGGGCTCTGATGTGTACAGTCTATGCTTATATCTATATCGCCCTATGCTTTACAGAACAATCAAGGCATGAAACACATCCATAAATTCATAAAATGTACATTCTATCGTCCATAAAATCTGTACAAACATAAATAATTACTGTGAATTAAAAGCCAGCTTAGATACAGGAGGCTTGTTAATGTTCTATAATTATGCTGCACACTGGGATTCTCTGTGATGAAACAAATTATGACTCAGAGGAAGTCTGTCGGAGCTCAGAGAAAGTTTACTCCAGTTCACTAGTTTAGTTTGTGTGTGTGTTTTTTTAATGATGCCAGCTCAAAGGATTCCTGTCTAAACCTTGATCGCCTGGTTGTACAGGATTTAGGCTGATTGTTTGTGTGTCAGAAGCAGCAGAAGAAAAACAGTAGTATGTGGTCTGTTGTTGTAAGGAAATCCCCAACACATGGACAGAACAAGTACATACTTTAGGAAAGGATCCAGGTGCATTTAAAAAAGGTGTGGTTAGTAAAAACGGGAGCAGCTGATAGAGGGAGGACATACAAAGCTTGAGTCGAACTCGAAGAGCAGAGTCATGGCCCCACACCAGGTTCAGATTATCCGTGCTGCCATGTAAATAACAGGAAGTCAGAAATTGCTTTGGCTCAGTGCAACAGACACCTGTTGCTTCTGACTGGTGCTTTATAAGAAATGTTCTGTGTTATTTATAGAGCCCTCTACACACACAGAGTGACCAATTTGCTTAATATGATTATTGTGCATTAAAAGTCAGAATATACAGCATTTTTAGGTTTATACAGTATTTAACTGTAAACCTGTCCCACTGTGATTTACGAGCTCCCTTACAATCTGTGACTGTAACGAAATAATAAGTGGGCATACACGACACTAAGGATGGCTTTTATCTAGAAATTATAATATTTCTGCGATCATTGTAAGTGTAATATGCGTGAAAAGGTCAAGCTTTGGTGTGTGTTACTTTGAGTGTTGAATGACACTGTTGTGGTATGTTTATGGAATGTGGTGCGAATGCTAGTCATAGGATTTCTTGTATACGCACATGTTGAGAGAAAGTGTGTGTAAAGTAAGTTAAATTAAAGAAAACAAAAGCGAGCGGCGCCTGGTTGAGTGGCTGGAATGAGAGTGACAGTGGGCAGGAAGTATGACTGGATCCATGAGGGAGAGAGAGAGAGGGGCTGGAAATCTAGAAATAGAGTTAGTCACACTGCAGGCAGAGTTTGTCAGTTGGCTCTTGTCGGCGCAGAGAAGAACATGCAGACACTGGGACTAATCACAGCATTACTATCGACATGTAAGTTTAAACTATTCCTGTATTTTTATAACTTCTTGTCAAACTGTTTTCCATCGCTCCCTGCATGTCTCTGGTCTATATTCAGACATTTGGATGCAGACTTCATTCATGTCGTTGGATACAAACAGCAGCAAAGAAAGTCTGTTGCACGCCTTTAAAGCACTGTCCTTGTAGTAAACGGGGAGACTTTATGAGACCCACTGTCTCAATACTTTCTCTTTTTTAAGCCAGCTCAGCATCATACAATGAATGGAGTTTTCTGAAAAAAAACGAGGACATGCGTGTTGCCCTGGTCTGCATCCAAACTGCAGGACCAAACAAAACAATGGCTTATTATTGCACAGTGATAAAACCAATGATGTATGCACTGTAAAAAGAATTTAGTTGAATCAACTTTAAAAAATGTTTCAATTGGTAACAACAAGTAAATTAAAATTTTTCAACTTTGAATTCTATATTGAACGAAACTAGAATTTTTAATCAGATAAAAGCTAAATATTCATTCAAGTTTCCTAAAATATTACTTTCTTTCAACTTAAAAAAAATGTATAAAATGTAATGTTTCTGAAAATTACACTTAAAACTCTGTTAAATTTTACTCTAGTATTTTTGACCTTTTTCTTACAAAAAACATTGTACATTCTAATCCACATCGTTAGTTTAGTTAAATCCAACTTAAAATATTGCTTCTTTCTCTCTCCAAATATTCTCAATCCTATTCAAACTTTTGTGTTTGAGCATCTTGTTTTTGAACATTCATCTGCAGAATACATGTTTGTAGTTATTTGCTGCTATAACAGTTAATTGAAAATATACATGAACAGTTCAGACTGTGGTGCTTCTTCAGGTGATATATAAATGTCAAAATGGAAATCTATTTTTGACCAAACATCCATCCATCCATCCATTTTCTACCCCTTAATCCATTTCTGGGTCAGGGGGGTGGCAATCAGAGATGCCACCCAAGTCTCATAGCACCAGCCCCTCACTGACCCTCTGCAGGTGGTGAGTCCACAGGAGGACGGCTGCTCTCTGAGTGTGAGCATAGCCTTGATCTTTCAGCGGGGGCTTTTTTTTGACCAAACACCAAAACAAAACTCACTTTGTGTGCAGTTTGAGAACCACAGCTTTAAATAGTATAAACTTGTTTGTATAATTGAAGTGAAGATGTAAAATAAAGGTCGTACGTGCAAATTATTTATTTGAAACAAAAAAAATCATATGATTTCAATTCAATACAGCCTCCATGACTGTACTCATGACAATAGCAGTTTCAGATTCAGTTCAGATTGTCCTGTGCCAGCAAAAAACAATCCAGACCAAACAGGAGGATTACAAAGTATTTATTCTTAAAACTTATAAAAACAGTCTTATAAAACTTTTAATACACTAAATACACCAAAGATGTAAGCTAAAGATGTTCAGTAATAAGCATTCAACAACAACAAAAAACAGTCTTTTACTCAAATGTAATACATTTTATCTTATAACCCTTAAAAAAAGGTTCTTTTGACAAATCGAAAAATGTAAAGAAGCTAGTACTGCTTCACTACCGCATGTTTCGGCGGTTTACTTCCACCTTCAGAGGCTGCCCAGGGAGAGTGGGACGCGTCTCTTATCAGCTGTAAGTGGATATGGCCAGTCTGACAGATCTCACAGATTCGTCCAACTGAGTGCGTCCCCACCGCATAGTGGTCTCTGGAGAAGTCAACCACCACTAACAGCTGATAAGTACTTTTCATAACACTTTCAACTTTATAAAACTTAACACTGAATGCCAACAACATTTTCATAGGCGTAGGATGACCATTAAACTGCACTTTGCAGTTTTCAAATGAGTGTGTGAACTTTAGGGGACATTTTCTGAGGATCCAGCTCCAAAAAAACTTTCTGGAAAGCCTTGAAATTGTAACGGAGGTTTTAAGGGAAAGGAAGATTAAGAATATAGATCAAACCGAGCAGCAGGGCACAAGTCAATGCGACAGAGCTCAGTCCGTTCAAAAACGTCCCTTCGATAACGATACCAATTTTCACAGGAAGTTCATCCTTCTGCTCGAATAGAAAACACTGCCATTGTCACTTGCTCAATGGGAATTGAGGACCGTTTAGTATCAATAAAAGCAAGCGTAAACACATTATTTTAATCGCTTGCTGACACTGCAGAGACAGCTTAGTCAAACTTTGAAAAGGTGGATCTACGAGTCGTTTCTTCTGTCTAAATATCCCAAATGAATCATATAATGAATAAAGAGCCATGGAAGTCATAGATTGTTATCAGAGAACAAAATCGGGTTATGTCCCCATTAAAGCGCTCTCTCCCCTTGGCCTAACCACCACCAGGAGGAGAACATTAGACCAATGGTGACCAGCCTTAGCTGTCTATCGAAGATTCTAATTCATTGCGTCCAATCAGGAACCTGTGGAGGCGGGTCAAACTGATGTTTGGTTCAAACAATGACTCTCCATCTTGAAAAAAAAATCTATGAACTGACCTGCACATTAATAGACTCACAAAAGCATAAAAGACAGATGGATATACAACTTGAAGTTATTTGACTGATGACACCTGCTCTGTCACAGGTGTGCTGTGTGCTGCGGAGACAGTGCAGCCTCTGGAGGGGAGGGCTGGAGAGGACATGACACTGCTGAGCCCCGGGCCCTCTGAGTGTGAGCCTCATCATGTCCTGTGGTATGAGGACAATGGTGCGGGCAGGACTCCACTGGTTGTGTTTGATAAAGGAATGAAGGGACCAAGACTGCCAGACAGAATGAGTCTGGCTCAAACTGGATCTCTGCACATGCCGGACCTGAAACTTGAAGACTCTGGGATCTACACTGGACAAGTCATCTGTAAAGACAACTCTGTGCACAACATCCAGTACAATGTAACTGTTTTAGGTGAGCTACGATCTGCTTTGATTACAGATGTTTTTGTTCCGGTCTCTCTCTGGTCTCTCTCTGGTCTCTCTCTGGTCTCTCTCTGGTCTCTCTCTGGTCTCTCTCTCTGGTCTCTCTCTCTGAGACCTCTCTCTGGTGTCTCTCTGGTGTCTCTCTGGTGTCTCTCTGGTGTCTCTTTGGTGTCTCTTTGGTGTCTCTTTGGTGTCTCCCTGGTGTCTCTCTGGTGTCTCTCTAGTGTCTCTCTGGTGTCTCTTTGGTGTCTCTTTGGTGTCTCTCTGGTGTCTCTCTGGTGTCTCTCTGGTGTCTCTCTGGTCTCTCTCTGGTCTCTCTGGTCTCTCTCTGGTCTCTCTCTGGTCTCTCTCTGGTCTCTCTCTGGTCCCTCTCTGGTCCCTCTCTGGTCCCTCTCTGGTCCCTCTCTGGTCTCTCACCTTGTTTAGAGCTCTCCTTTCTTTAACTGTGATGTTATCAAACCACAGAACAGAGAATCAACAAGGAAACTTTCAATGGTGCAGCCATAAAAATGAGGGAGAATCTAAGAGTTTGTAGTGAATGTATATGATGTCTGGTGCACTTGCCCGGTTGAAATGAAAACCTGCAGACCACTGATTGAATGTTGTTTTACAGAAGCAGAGTTTGTGATGACGACAGATCCTCCACTGCCCAATGCAGCACAGAGACACCACTGGAGCGCAGGAGCCTGTGTTCTCATGTTTGTCTTGGTTCTCATTTGTCTAATATTTAAAGGTGAGAATCCAGGAACTGACCACATTTTACACTGTCCAACCCAAAAGAATTACAAAAATACTCACATGGTCTTTGTTACAGTCCAGAAGACCCCTGCTGAGACTGATGGGTGAATCAACTATTGATAAACCTTTCTTGTCCCCTGAGGGAAATCCATTTCCACAGACACTGTCACAACACACACAGAAAGAAACTTTATACAAGAACAAGGAAAACAACATAACAGACTGTAAAGAGCAGCTATGGCTGAAGGGACCAAACTTTTGCTGAATCTTGTCCACTTCCATCTTAAAGGTCCTATATCACGCTTTTCTTCATGTTTCACACTCAATCCTATGCACATGTGTGATATTAATGTGTATGATACACCACACAACAATCAAAGCTTGTGAGATTAGAGCCATCTCTTGTATAGAGGTGACGTCACCTCGACTCAAACGAGCTGATCCAGAGAAGAGTCTGCTCCTCTGCCTGTGAGCCCGCCTCCCCCCGCCCGCACGCTGACGTAGCATCACGCTTTTGTCGTTTATCACCTGTACTTAGTAATTTCATACATAAGAATAAACTTTTTCCAACAATGACAATCCGTCACATCGAGCCCTATGTCCTCGATGCACAATCAGACCCTAGTTATTTAGTTTACAGAAGTATACAGCGAGTTAGCGTCACTACTTACAGATCGAGGGGGTTCGAGTTACGTCTTTTACCGTGGGAATAACGTGTTTCCAGATCAGTTTTTGAGTAAGTCCAGTTCCATTGTCCCTGTAGTTCTGGAACAGTCTCAGTGAAGTGTCGCAGATGAACCGGTATTATAATAGATCCATGAGATGAACAGATGAAAAAAGTCGAGCCGCTTTCTTCCTCTTAGGGCCAAATAGTGTGTCACATATTTACACCCATAACACACTTCATTCAAGTTGACGTGATCCTAACACTTTTAGTTGCTGACAAAAGCATAAAAACAGCAGCTCTATGTGGTGTCCGCGAGACCAGACCACAGACGCTGGACTCGGGAGCCGGAGCCTGTGCGCTCTGATTCGCTGTTTTGATCCGTCAATCACCTCCCGCCGGCTTTTAATTTATTTTTATTTTTATTATTTTTGACAAAAAACAGCATACTAATTGTGTATTGTTTACCCCGTTTTGACAAAAGTATTTAACAACTATTTTAAATACAAAGCAAACGGGGTCATGCGCGTCATCAGTGTGGTTTTCGTCACTGAAGTGGACCCGAGCGTTTCTGTGCCTCACGCACGGGAAGGAGACAGATTGTTCTCTTACAAAAGATTGACAGAATCAATGAATAAACTACTGTGGGCTTGTGTATGAAGGCCAAATAGCATTGCAATCATGTTTAAAGCAGAGAAAAGTCAAAAACCGTGATATAGGCCCTTTAAAGGAGCAATATGTACAACTCTGGCCAAAAGTGGAACTGCAACCTCTCACACTCTCCCTGACCCAGGTTGCCAGATATGCAGAGGAATCCAGCTGCAACCATAAAATCTGAATAGACAAGAGTTTTGTCAGCAGCAAATATATAACCAACACCTTTTTCACAAAGGCCTGATAGAAATTATTATTCTTTGTTTTGTTATTAATGTTTGGAGAATCATAACAAGACATTTTTCATTCTGTGGCCACATGTTACTTTACCAGTGAGAATATCTCGACACAATGAGTTCTGGCAACCTGGATCATGGCCTTTCTGATTGGTGAAACGGTAGAGGGCGGGACATTAAAATGAAAACACCAAGATTTAGGGGCTGTAAAACTAATCCTTTATCAGTTAAAGAAGTATTCAAAAAGAGAATAGTTTATTAATACCTGACAGATTAGGGCAATGATGACTTGACCTGAAAATCTTACATATTGCTACTTTAATGTTCTGTATCTGTGTAGAGCAGAATGAAGTGGTCTGAGTCTGTGCCAACTGTCCGGACTAAACTAAAACAGATGATTGAATGTACTGTCTAATAATCTACTGCGACTGCTCTGAAACGGCATATTGTTGTTTTTCTGATATTCCATACTACGAAATATATGATACGTTCTGTTATTTTCCAAAAAATAGAAAACTAAAGGGTATCCATACAGCATGAGGTAGGACTTTGTGGAACCTCCTTTTGCAGCATTAACAGCATCAAGTCTTTGTACATCTAGAGAGACACATTTTATCCCTTCCTCTTTACAAAACAACTCGAGCTCTGTCTAATTAGATGGAGAGTGTTTGTGAACAACAGTTTTCAGGTCTTTCCACAGATTTTCTTTTGCATTTAGGTCTGGACTTTGACTGTGACTTGACTTTGACCAATCTAACACATGTGTTGTTTTAAACCATTCCATTGTAGATTTAGCTTTGTGTTTAGGGTTATTGTCCTGAAGGTGAATCGTCGCCTCGCAATCAATTCCCTTGCTGACTTTTCATCCGAAATGTCCCTGCATTTGGCTCCATCCATCTTCCCAGCTATTCTTACAATCTTCCTAGTCCGAAAGAAGAAAGGTAGCCCCATAGCATGATGCTCCCCCCACCATGTTTAAAGGTATAGGAGGATTTTCTACTTCCGGGTGGATCATAAAGACAATTGGTTCATCTAATTGTCATTCTGGTGATAGGATAGAGGGCGGTCCTAAAATTTGGGAAAATCCTCGTATATACTTTTCCCACAGGGCAGGGTGCAGTGATTTTATGCTGCAGTGGTTTGCAGCATAAAAAACTGACCAAAACACCTGCTTCCACATGGAAGCTGTGTTCCCAATATAACTTTTGTCAAACTTGAAACATTCATTAGGAATGTTTTAAAGAAAATTGAATGCACGAAAAAAGAAGAAGGTCCTTCATTCGTCCCACAATGGGAAAATATCAGTTTGACACACACACACACACACACACACACTTTCCGCGCTCCTTATAGGCAAAGTGGGTTATTTGTCTTGCCCAAGGACACAACGACAGCAGACATCAGGGAAGTCAACTGTATGAATACTTGTGCAGGTCCAACTTTTAACTTTTCTATTTTTTAAACAACAACAGAATCATGTATCATTTTATTTTATCGTCTCAGTTGTCTGTTACTTGTGTGTGAATATGTATTTAAAAAAATCAATATGAAATATTTATGTTTATTGTTGTAAACATGAGAAACGCACAAGTTCTAGCTGTATAACACTTCATATGTATATATATTTTTATATATGTATTATAGTATGAATAGTTTACAGCAACTTATCTCTGTTTATATTGTGTGCTTGTTTGTGCCCATTTGTGTGTTGCAATACCAACATCACTGTGGGAAGATTTTGTTTTTTTCAATATATAAATAAACTATATGTTCTAATGTGCAGGGTTTGATTGTTTCATCTCCACATTTTACACATCACACTAAATCAAATACAGAAAGTGCGAACAATCCACTTTCAAAGCATCTGTTCCTATTGGCCTTTCACTGTCACCTCTCCTGTTCTTGTTTTTTTCAATGTTGTGATCTTACTTTATCTGCCTGTTTTTGGATGACTGTTGCTACAAAACCAATTTCCCCTAGTGGGACAATAAAGATAAGTTGAACTTGAACTTGAACTTGATTAGAAAAGCCGATCTATTTTTGGTTCCTGTTGTCTTTTAAAAATTTTGCAAGATTGAAGCTTAAGCTGAAGTTAAAATTGGTCGACTGCCGCGTCATCGGACCGACCCCACGCCTTCCTCAGCCCCACCTCAGCCTCACCTCAGCTTAACTCCCTGCAGCCGCTAATCAAGCCAGCGCTCAAAAGCTCATGGACACCGGATATCTCCATACCCTCAATAAATCTCGTAGTCTGTCTCCCCAGATTGGATCATGTTTGGCAGTTCTCCAGTCTCAGAGAGCACATGGCAGACAAACAGGAAGTGATTCAAATATCGTTCTGTTAAACCTGAGCTACATGACTTTACAGCTGATGTCAAGAAATACTAGAAAAGTAAACTCTAATGAACAGCTTTGATTAAAGTAAAATACATGAGGACACATTTATTTGATTCAATTTATATTCAAACATATTCTTTCCATGAAAAAGGACACATTTTGTCACTTGACTGAATGTAGGAGTAACATACAAGTCAATCTTATGTGAAATTAAAAAATATACAATTTTACAATGTAACAATGTAAATGGAAAGACGTACAGTAGTTTGCAACTGTTTGAACAGCGGCCAAAACATAGATACTGGTGCCAGGTTATGTAGTGACTCAGCAGGTTGTTTAAACCAGTGTTAGTGCTTTTGGAAAAGACCTAATTTGACTTCCTTGGTCAAAATAATATGAGAAGATTAGACAGACTTTTTGTGCTTCTTTGATTCTATATAATACAGTTTGATGAGCCTTTTTTACAGTGTCAAGGCTGCAAAGTTTCACGTTTGTATCCGTTTCAGCTGCTGGTGGTGACTTAGTGGATATCAGCCAAACCACCTCGTTTCCAAGTGATTTCAACAAAATAAAAAAAGAGACGGGTGCAACACAACTCCAAGGGAAAGAAGCTATTTTTGAAAGAAACGTTAAAAACTGAAGATTGGTCCAGAGTCTTCTGCTGATTACTGTGGATTTAGTTTTGTTCATGTTATCCCTGTGGAGTTGATCTGAAGTGGACCTGTTTGTGCCGAGCAGCAGTGACTTTATATCAATGACATAAAGAGTGTATTTGAACTGTTTGTGCTGAGTCACAGGATGCACATGTGTGAAGTAAGAATCAGTTATTTACTTTAAGACAATAAGAACTGTTGCTGCAGACTGCACTTCATGTTGAACCTTTACTTTTTTCCAGACTTTTACATGTTGCACATACACAGACTCTGACCACGTTCTCATTTAAACCTGCAGAGAGATAAAAGTCAGGACTAAACAAAGATCAGTGTGAACACAGCCTAAAGTGTCTTTAGGGCTGTAATATTGACAAGAGCCTTTCTCTTGTCTTTGTTTTCTTAAACACCCTGAACGTGTCTTTGATAATCCTTGGTTTATTATTAATTGTGCTAAAGTATTTGCACAATGAATGCAAACACTTATTTCTATGTTCACTTCTGCTCTGAGACGGGATCAACGAAGTGAGTCATCATTAAAATAAATCTGCTCACACACAGAAGTACAACAAACAGTCCATTTGAGGAAACATTCTCTATACAGGATGTTATCCACTCTGAAATGCATCATTCACAAAGATACAGACAATCTGTGAAAATGAGCTTTGTTTCCAGCCGCAAACAATTGTTAAAATAGTAATAATTTGTGGATGATTTTCTGACTCTGCAACAGATTACTCAGATGAGCTGCTGTCGTCTTTAATAAGATAAGATAAGATATGCTTTATTTATCTCACAAGGAGAAATTTACATGTCAATCTTCAACAAAACCCACTGTCTCTGTGTAGAAGATGTTCTGTTGTATTTCCATAGATGCATGTGACATCACCTGCTAAAGGCTGTTGTTTTGATAAACCTGTTGGTTTTTCTGCTTCGTTTGGAATACTTAGAGAAAGTAGATTGTAAATTTAAAAAAGACACAATTTTAAACAATAATTCCTAATTTTCAACATGAATAAGCTCAAACATTTTAAATCATAACCCTGGTTCAAATGGTAACATCTAAAATGAGATTCCTTTATTAGGTCACGTTAAGGCTTTGTTCCACTGCATACTTTCCTACACAAAATCAGCTGTTTGGCGTTGCCCTCTCGTCCGCCACAGCCTTTTTTTTTCCTGAATTAAGTTACATCCATTGTTACATGCGCTATTAGCCTTTTTCGCCTTTTATTACCGCATAAATTATGCACAGTTCTCCATGTGATTCGCGAGCGATAGGAACAATCACGGATCTCCAACATGATATGCACTCGGATGAGAAACAGCTCCCACGCCTCGGGCCATTTTAACGAGTCAAAATCTGTTTCTAAAAAAAACAAAAAACAACTGTTGGATACAGCCCGAGCCGCGACAAAAAATTTAAATAACTCACGAAAGCTAAAAGCTCAACTGTAGATAAAACTCTGCATTCTCCAGTGAACTCTGTTCAGGCCAAAAACAAACTAAAAAACAAAAACTCCCTTTTTATGTTTATTTATTTTTTATACCATGGTTTCACTAACTAATCTGGCCGTAACTGCTATTTTATCGAGGTAGTGGACCTGTGTCTTGACCAATTTAGAGAGCATTTGGCAGACCTCTCAAACAAACACAAATTTAGCTAGTATCCAATTATGCAGACTTTACATATAAACAGGTGTCTGCTTACCTTATTTTCTTTGTCCGGACTGTTCAAGAGGTCAGCCAACTTCTTTTACGCGTCGAAAAATAAAATGTAAACAAAAGTGACAAAGCAAGGAGGATCCAGGACGCAAGCAGCTCTCCCGGCCTGCTGAGATGTGCTCGCGATCCCAGATTACATGTTGCTTTCCCACGCCGAAAAAACCACTCTCAAAACAACCAGCCAGATGCACAGAGCCACGCATCTCTCCACCACCTGTGGGAAATTAGACTCAGACATACTGGGATCCTGTGCATCCAGCTTGGTTGTTTATTCACAAAAATGGTAGTTGATTCAGACAGAGCAAAAGTCAAGACATGGTTTTATAGTCATTGTTACGTCACACATGGAAAGACGTACGTGTCACACAGAGACAGTGCACATCATAGTCAAAATAACCAGAGTCCTTGTAGAGTCTTGCACGTAGGCCAAATTGCTATCTAATCCTAGCAAATTGTTATAACAGAGAAAGTCAGTTACAAAAGCCTCCTCTTTTGGTTTTCATAATTAAGATTGTAAACATCAGTGGAGCTCTCAAAATGAGCCCCCACGTTTGACGCTCTATTCTGGGCTTCAGCGCCGCGGGACCCGCTCACTTAACCTAAGCGTTGGAGCTTCGCGCTGGAGGAAAAGTCCGAAAATGTTTGATTTTATCACCAAACAGACCCGTAATATGACAATAGAGGGGGGTATTTCTTGCCTCAAATTATGTTACAATTAATCTTTATGTCCTAATTAAAGTGATTTTTTCCTGATGCATTTTAAAAAATATTGTGGGAAAACGTCCCTAAACCGTAAAAGTAGTCAAGTTATCATGTTTTTTCAAATAGTAAGGTAGATTGACCAGATGCCTGTAGTCTCCAAAAATTAACAAATAATACTTTGGAGCGGACCGATAAAAATAACCCAATGGGATTCGTTCATCCCCTACAAACCAATGGGATGCGTTTACCCCCTTCACCCTCTTCCTGTTTCTCGCGAGTTTGCGCACCTGAGTTGGATTTTCTAAACATGACTAAGTAAGGGATAACGGGATAAAGGGATATATTACGCAGGTCATTATTGGAAAATAAGTACCAACAGGGCGGAAGGTACTTATTTTCCGATAATGACCTGCGTAATATACGTCATCCCGCTTATTATACGGCTTTATACCAACAGAACACACAACATAAACTTCAGTCCACTTTTAGGAATGCCGAAAGGTTTATTTAATGACAGAAAATAAAATAGTTCCCAAAGGTTTTCCCGTGGCTATGCTAGCAACAGTTAGGCTGGCAACTTCCAAACTAGAACTCCCTGGAACTGCATGAAAACTGAACAAAGAATTCTGAACATCAGCGGTGAGTGACCCATACATAAACCTAACCTAAATCCATAATTCGATCCTCTGCAAATGTGTCGGAAAATGTGCCGGTATCTTAAAATGTGCCGGTATCTACTTCCGGGTTTTTCGGGATCGCATTTTCTCGCATTACATCAGTGTTTTTGTCATGAAAACGTAAACGGAAAATTCTTAAAACTTCCGTGCACTTGTATTAAGACTGGATATGTATAATTCACTCTCCGATAAACATTTCATTGCGTTGATTGATTGGCATTTGCGTTTATTGAGCGGCCGGAACTACTTCCGGGTTTTTCACAATCGCTTTTTGACGCAGAGAAATAGTATTTTTGTCATGAAGACAAAATTCTGAAAATTTCCGTGCACGTGTGTGAAGAATGTATATGTATAAGTATTCTCCGATTAACATTTAAGTGTGTTGATTGAGCGTGGCTAGCTCCGGAGTGGCCGGAACTACTTGCGGAGTTATCCACGCATTTGAAAGACAAGCAGAGAGAGCGTTGCCATGGGCAGCGGTCATTATTGTTTGGAGAGGTCCGGTATAGAAAATAATGACCGGTAGAATGTTTTGAAATTACATTCAAATCAATGGAGCGTTCTACTGCTGCTCTGAGGAGCCGTATAATAAATTGTGTGATAATCGCGGAGGACATCTGAGATCTGGCAGTGCATTCACAATGTAATTTTCACTGACAACACACATACCGGCCGTGCGCGGGTCTCTCCTTCACGCAGTTCATAAAGTCTCATGTCTGACCACAACAGCCACAGGTACCATGAGGACAAACACGTACATGTGGATTGCTCTACCGCACTTTCTGTCATGTCAATACTTTTTGTACGGACTGCCCGTGAACGCCCCAAATACTAACATACGCGCAAGCCATCAAATAGTAACGGCTGCAGCAACACGTCTGTACTGTAGTAGGACAGAGTGCAGAGTAAACGTACGAATACAGCCCAGTCTAATGATTAGTGTCAGTGAACACATAACACTGTCCTCTACACTTCTCCATAGACCTCACAGAGACAGCAGTAGCCGCGACTCTGCAGCTGTGTACACAGCCGTGATACGCGACTCCTCTGCTCATCAGGAGAATGTGACATGTTCATCTGATGACAGATGATATCACGTGTGGATGCGCGTTCACGTGTGCCGGTTGTTTTGGTTTGGTGGTAAGGCGGGTGATAAGGCGGGTGATAAGGCGGGTGATAAGGCGGGTGATAAGGCGGGTGATAAGGCGGGTGATAAGGCGGGTGATAAGGCGGGGGGAGGGGGGAGTGGTTTCAAGTTGGTGCTACGGCTAAGCTAACAAAATCGCTTACTGCATCTTTAAAGCATATTTTAAACTTTATACCTTCCATCATGGCCGCCGTGTCCTTCGAGTTGTGTTGTCACGTGACGAAGGCAACGAAGGCAGCTGCTGTCCAAATTCACTTCAGGTTTTGCTCCCTACGTCGCCAGATGGCCACATGGCTCTGAAGGTGGCCCTTTGATGCCTAAGTATCCACCCTACGCAGCCAGATACCAATTTGGACACAGCCATTTTCTCACAATGATGTCTGCTGTGGAGCTCTGTGTCCAGAGTGTGATGAAGTCCTCTCTGTCTCAGACTCTGTGCGGCTGGTTGGAGGCTCTGGTCTCTGCTCCGGATCATTGCAGATATGGGACCGGTCCTGGATCTCAGTCTGTGAAGGGGCCTTGGACCTGCGGGGAGCAGAGGTGCTTTGCAGGGAGCTGGGCTGCAATGCTCCTTCTGTCCTCCAGGGGGAGCTCTCTCCGCTGGGGACGACATTCCACTGTGAGGGCCATGAGTCTGCTCTGATGGACTGTCCCCGGTCCAGACCCAAGATCTGTTCCTCTGGACCCCATGAGGGCGTCATCTGCTCAGGTGAGGGGCGGGGCTTATGTGAGGGGCGGGACTAAGATGGGTGGGCCTTATGTGAGGGGCTAAGGTGGGTGGGGCTTATTTAGGACAATGAAAATCAAGAAAGACAATTATACAGGAATACAAAACAAAGGATTTTTCACATGAAAAATCAAACTATTTATAACTTTTTTTTTCAAAGAGAAGGTATCTAGATATTTTCCCCACCATTTTGGTGTTTGTTTGGTTCTGTTTCAACTAAACGTTCTTCTAAGTTGTGATGATTTAAAGATCTTTCCTCATTTGACTTAAATAAAAAAAAAATTTCAATGAGAAAAATACATGTACATTTTCTTTATCTTTCTTTTATTATACCTCTCCCATGAACCCTTGTAACTTTGACAAAAGACACAATTTATTATTCAAATGTAATATCTAATATTTTTAGAATTGTATACATATTAACCCAAAATGCAATACAATAGAATTTATTTAGAAAAAATCTCATTTGTGAGTCTGTAGAAGTGTGACAAACTTCTGTTCAGTGAATTGCGGTGTTAAACAAGTACATTTTCTGTACATTATGTCGGGGAAAATTCAGTATATTGTTGTATATTTTGTTAATCTTTGCTCCTTTGAACCATTTACTGTTTCTCACCCAGGGTCCAGTATTCATTATGAGCTTCCATTTATTTCCCAAGGCACCAGATAATTGGTTTTACTCCTGGGGAAACTCCACCCATCCAACCATTTTCTTCCCCTTAATCCATTTCTGGGTAGGGGGGTGGCAGTCAGAGCTGCACCCAGTACACTTAGCACCAGCCCCTCACTGATCCTCCTGCAGGTGGTGAGTCCACAGGAGCTGAGATCTTTCAGCAGGGGCTTCAGGCAAAGGGGGGTTAAGTGTCTTGCCCAAGGACACATTGACAGCAGACATCAGTTAGAGTTGTGAAGTAGATCTTACGGTGGGCTTGATCCCACGACCTTCAGGCCCAATGCTCTACCAACTGGGCCACTGTCGAGTGGACACACACACATACAGACACAAACACACACATACACACACACGTGTTTCATTTGATGTGACAGTGTGTCTTAGTGAGCAGCAGACGAGGACAGAGACACACACACACACAGAGACACACACAAACAGACACACATACATACAGACACAAATATAGACACACACACTGTTTATCGGGGAGTGGCTGCTTTTAAACTGGTCGCTTTGCTGTCAGTGGGTTGTCAAGGGGCTGGCCGGGCTGTGATTGGCTGGCCCTGGCGGTGAGAGCCGTGGCCGGTCTTCCAGGCTGAAGTTGTGCTTCAGCTTTGTGTGTGTGTGTGTGTCAGTTTGTGTGTGTGTGTGTTTATGTCTGTGTGCGTGTGTATGTGTGTGTTTGTGTGTGTGTCTGTATGTTTGTGTGTCTGTGTGTGTGTGCGCGTGTGTGTTTATGTGTGTGTGTCTGTGTGTGTCAGTTTGTATGTGTGTGTGTGTGTTTGTGTATGTCTGTGTTTGTTTGTCTGTGTGTTTCTTGTGTATGTGTTTGCGTGTGTGTGCGTTTGTGTCTGTGTGTTTGTGTGTGACCGTGTGTGTTTGTGTGTGTGTGCGTGTATGTTTGTGTGTGTATGTGTCTGTGTGAGTGAACGTGCGTGTGCGTTTGTGTCTGTGTGTTTGTGTGTGACCGTGTGTGTTTGTGTGTGTGTATGTGTTTGTCTGTGTCTGTGTGAGTGAACGTGCGTGTGTGTTTGTGTGTGAGTGTCTGTGTGTGTGTTTGTAAATAAAGTGTAAATAAATGTAATGTCCGTTGCTCTATAATAAAACCAAATGTTTGTGTGTCCCAATTGTGCGTCTGCTCTTGGTATCTGTGTCCAATCCAGTTTTCTCAAATGTGTGTGGGATGTTTGTGTGTCTGAAGAGTGTTTGTGTTGCTCAGAGCCGCTCAGGCTGGTGGAAGGGGCCAGTCGCTGTGTCGGGACACTGGAGCTCAGACACAGAGGAGAGTGGAGACGAGTGACGTTTGATAGAAGAGGCTGGACCGAGGAGGACTCAGCTGCTGTGTGCAGAGACCTGGACTGTGGATCTGCTGTTTCTGGACCTCAGAAAGATGGTTTTCCAGTCACGACTGTGTGGGTGATCTCACCTGTCTGCATAAGGAGGAGGAAGTCTAAAGTGAGAGAATGTGTTCTCGGCCAGCCTTTCCCTTCCCGTTATGGTGTGAAGTTGATGTGTTCAGGTAAAAGTCAAATTTGAACTCTAATCTCTGCTGTAGCTCATGTCTCTGTCTCTGCAGACTTACTGAACCGTCCAGTCCTGTCCCTTTATGTGACTGTGGGGGTCTCCCAGGTCCAGGTCTCCCAGGTCCAGGACTCCCAGATCCAGGACTCCCAGATCCAGGTCTCCCAGGTCCAGGTCTCCCAGGTCGGGGTGCAGGTGGTGCGTGTGCAGTTGGGGTCTCAGTTCTTGGTCCAGTGCTCGGTGAAGCCTCAGTTCCCAGGAGGCTCCTTCCAGCTGCTCTCTCCCTCTGGGAGCCACACCCTGCCTGCTGTCAATCACTCTGCACACTTCCTGTTCAATCACACTGGCCGTGCCCACAAAGGAGACTACACCTGTGTTTACCACCTACAGGTGTTCAACCACAGCTTCACCTCCAAGAGTGAGAGACTGGAGCTGAGGCTGGGAGGTACCTGACTACTACTACTACTACTACTGCTGCTGCTCCTGCTCCTGCTACTACTACTGCTACTACTACTGCTGCTGCTACTGCTACTACTAGTAGTAGTAGTCTTTATTTCGAAATAATTGTGCAATACACTAAAACAAAAGAAGAAACATATAAACGTATACACAATTCGAAAAGTGAAACTTGTATTTCGTACCCCTTTTTACGTGCCTTTTCTTTTTACAGGAGTTCAAATGATATACAGGCGTGTATCTCTCAGATATACAACTGTCACCATGAATATTCGTTTTAAAGGCTCATTAAACAGCATTGATGTTCTTATTGTCAATACCATTATTACTTAAACGTTGTTTAATTAATGGTAACATTGTTATGTATGTAGGTTATAAAAGGTGGGTAGAATGAGCCAGTCGAGAGAAGGCAATAGCCCCCACTCAACCCGCCCCGCCCCCAACATTCCTGACCAGTGGAAATGTACGAAATATTTGCGTCGTATGATCTTGCTGTGTGATGCGTTAAAAAGCGAGGTTTTGAGGCCGCTTGGCAGGAGGGACCCAGTCGAACCATATCTCTGCTCTGATTTACTTTTATCGGTTTAAGCAGTAATGGCAATCACAACTTGAGAACTTATTTTCTCACACTATAGATCTTGGTCATGCACTATTCATGGTTAAGAGTTGTCCATTGCATCTGAAAGATTTAACTGCTCCAAATAACTTTTACAGTGTAAACAACATTATATTGTTGTTTACACTATTACATACCTTACATACAATACATTACCTTACACATATGTACAACACATTACTTTCCTTTTTTGAAAATACAAACCATTAATTTGAATCCAGAATTTCTTCTTATGTAACATATTTATTGAATCTAGTAGTTTTGATTTGTTTCTTAAAAACCATTGTAATTGTTGACTCTTTAATGTCTTTGTTAAGTGCGTTCCACAAGTAGATTCCTTTCACTGAGACGGTTCTGACTTTTGTTCTGAATCTAGGTTATTTTTTTTTTTTTACTACTACAACTGCTACTACTACCGCTGCTACTGCTACTGCTACTATACTGCTGCTATACTACTGCTGCTACAACTGCTGCTACTGCTACTACTACCGCTGCTACTGCTACTACTGCTGCTACTGCTACTACTACCGCTGCTACTGCTACTGCTACTATACTGCTGCTATACTACTGCTGCTACAACTGCTGCTACTGCTACTACTACTGCTGCTACTGCTACTACTGCTGCTACAACTGCTTCTACTGCTACTACTACTACTACTGCTGCTACTGCTACTACTACTGCTGCTACTGCTATTACTGCTACTGCTGCTACTACTGCTACTACAACTGCTGCTACTGCTATTAGTGCTACTGCTACTGCTGCTGCTGCTGCTACTACTGCTGCTGCTACTACTGCTGCTACTACTGCTGCTGCTACTACTGCTGCTACTACTGCTGCTGCTACTACTGCTGCTACAACTGCTGCTACTGCTACTACTACTGCTGCTACTGCTACTACTGCTGCTACAACTGCTTCTACTGCTACTACTACTACTACTGCTGCTACTGCTACTACTACTGCTGCTACTGCTATTACTGCTACTGCTGCTACTACTGCTACTACAACTGCTGCTACTGCTATTAGTGCTACTACTACTACTGCTGCTGCTACTGCTGCTGCTACTACTGCTGCTACTGCAACTGCTCCAAAAGATCCAAACAGTCGACTCCGGCGTTTGTAAAACTGACTCCTTTTAGAACCAACTGTTGGCTTTACAACTGCTGTTTGTGCCGAGAACCTCCATGTTTAAAACATTCAAGCAGACTCTTCTCAAGCTTCAGGAAACAGAGGAAACTGCTTTCTCCTTTTCTCTGACTTTTTCTGGAGACAGAGCGTGTGATGTCACATACTGGAGACAGAGTGTGTGTGATGCATGGATCTATAATAACTGGATAGAGTGTTACAGCTGGGAGCTGAAGAACCCATGTGCTCGCAGGATTCTTGCGGTACTGCAGACTAAACCAGACCAAATTCACGCGGGCTACCCTGAAAAAAGTAAAACATTGCTGTGTTTCATTTGATGTTTTTTTTTCATCCTAATAGCCTAAACATATTAAATTGTTAAGTAAAATTTAATTTTGTAAATATGATGTCTCCTTCAATACATTTTTGTAGATTGATACAATATAAAAGTATAAAATAAAAATAAGATTAAAATTATACATTTGATCAAATTACTTTTATCAATCGAGCACAATTCGCGCATGCGCACACTTGAAATCTGAGAGAAAGTTCTGGAAGAAGAAGACATTGAAGACAGAACTTGAGTGGACGGTTGAGGAAAGAACGTTTAGTCTGAGTGACTTTTTAGGGAAAAATATTGAGAGAATCTAAAATTACTAGATTACACTGTAACAAGTGAATCAGACCAAACGGATGCAAATATTTTAAGTAATTACTATATACTTCATTTTACACTATTTTATATTTTTGGTTGACAAATAAGTACTGTATAACATTATCATAGCAGTCTGTACAATACTGAGATTATTGCTTTAAGTGAAAATACTTCACTTTTTGTATTTCTTTTGTAAGCCTGGTGGACCATTATGACCCAACAAATATTTTGTGTTGATTGAAAACAAAATGTGGCGAAGCAGTGACACCACCCAGAATGCATTGCAGAGAAAAATAAACGTCTTAAAAATTCTACATTTGAGCATTAGTTTTCAGAGTGAATATGAAGCAAGTCCTAAAGCAAAATACTTGAGGAACATTTTGAATAAACTAATTTGATCAAATAAGTCATTGTATTTATTTTTACCAACCGTGATCGACAGGGCCAAGCCAAAGCAGCCGTATACTTCCTATGATCCTATGATAACAATCAGATGCTGTTAAATGGTCACTATGCTTCCTTGAAACTCAGTTCTAACAGAATTGCAAACATTATGGGCTTGGCAAAAGGCATCATGGGAAATAGCGCAATGCATCATGGGAAATCATCCACTGCGCAGATGATGCCTAAAAACAGGCAAATTTCCCATAGATCTTCCCATGGAGTTCCAGGCAAGTTCCGCCAATCTTTCGCAGCCCGTGCCAGTAAAAACGGCACGGGCGGCGAAAAATCGTTCTCTGCGATCCTGGTGAAGTGATATTTTCTTTGTGAATCCAGTTTCTTTTGAAGTACTTGTACTTTATCTGACCTGTTTTCTCTGGTGGTTTTGTTTTGCAGTTTTAAAGTCTGTCCTGATCATCAGAGTCCTGATTATTCTACTGATGATCCTCCTGTTCACCCTGCCACAGTGCTACTGCTACTACAAGGTACTACTACTACTGCTACTACAAGGTACAACTATTACTGCTACTGCTACTACAAGGTACTACAACTACTACTACTGCTACTGCTACAGCAACTGGTTCAGACCTGGCTCAGACCTGGTCCAGACCTGGTCCAGACCTGGTTCAGACCTGGCTCAGACCTGGTCCAGACCTGGCTCAGACCTGGTTCAGACCTGGCTCAGACCTGGTCCAGACCTGGCTCAGACCTGGTTCAGACCTGGCTCAGACCTGGTCCAGACCTGGTCCAGACCTGTGGATGTCTTGTTGTTTCAGGCTAGGTCCAGAAGAGGCGCTAGTGAGACACATGAGAACATGATCCTGATGAATGAGGTCATCACAGAAGAGGAGAGAGGAGGAGATGGACCAGGAGAGGAGAGAGGAGGAGATGGACCAGGAAAGGAGAGAGGAGGAGATGGACCAGGAGAGGAGAGAGGAGGAGATGGACCAGGAGAGGAGAGAGGAGGAGATGGACCAGGAGAGGAGAGAGGGGTAGAGGGACCAGGAGAGGAGAGAGGAGGAGAAGGACCAGGAGAGGAGAGAGGTAGAGGGACCAGGAGAGGAGAGAGGGGTAGAGGGACCAGGAGAGGAGAGAGGAGGATATGGACCAGGAGAGGAGAGAGGAGGAGATGGACCAGGAGAGGAGAGAGGGGTAGAGGGACCAGGAGAAATGAGTGAAGTGTAAATATTTCCCATGATGCTCTGAGTGTAAACGCCTCCTTCTGTTCAGCTTTGATCCTCTGTTGTTTTATTTATCTCTGTTCGGGCTCAGAATGAAAAAGCTGTCAATGGAATCTGTCTCATTTATGTAAGTTTCTCCTGTGTGAGATTAATAAAGTGTATCTTATCTTAGCAACTAAACGGATAATACACGGATGTCTGTCAAAACAATATAATATTGTTTTGACAGACATCCGTGTTTTGACAGACACGGATGTCTGTCAAAACAATATTATATTTACATTTTTCTATATCTATCTGTATTTTGTGTATTGTCTGTACATAATACTGTGTGTGTGCTGCGGATTCTTATATAATAATATAATTATACAGTGTGTGTGTGTGTGTGGAACCAATAACCATCATTGTTTGTGCATTTTTTTCCTGCTCTGTGACCATTGTCATTTCTGATTAGAAAAGTAAGAAAATAATAATAAAAGTAATGGATGGATTTTGTTTCAAAGTTCATTGTGTGTGGTTCTAAAGTCAGGAACCCCAGCTTTAAACGGCAGTCTACAGTTTCCTCTGCGACCGAGGGAGCTCTGAACTCATGTATGTCCTGTTTTAGACATTCAAGACGAGCTTTATTCATTTACTGCAGTAAAAACAAAAAGGCAAAATGTATCTGTCGTTATTGTAAGAGGTAAAGTAGGAGGAACCAGAACTATGGACACAACTGGACTGAACCAAAGGTACCAGTGACAGAACAGACACAGACTCATTGGCTGCAGGAGCAAAGCCACAGAACAAAATCCAATCACAACTATTGTATTGTAAGAAACAGGAAGTGACAAACTAGGAATCTGCTTTGGCTCATGGTGCAAACAAGTGACAAGAGTAAAAAGGTGAAGACATAAAAGAATGTTGATAAATGTGTTAAAATAAGGACTATCTCTAAGTGCACGAAGGACAGAGACATGTAGCAGTGCAGTAAAGTGACTGTAAATGTCTAAAGCTGAACACATGTTTTTACACATGTACAAACATCCAAGACCTTTGTACTGAAGTCAACAGAAACATGAAGCAAGGAGAAGGAAATATCCACTTCTTTGAGGAGAAACATTATTACTGGGAACATGAAGTCCTAGAATGAAAAAAAAGCTCTTCTGGATCATGGCACTCACTGCTCTCAAACTAATGACCAAACAAACTTATGGAAACAACGGGAAAAGAGTCAAAATAAATACATAAATAAGAGAAAATGAAAGAAAAAGATGCAGTTGGAAGAATGTGAAGTCTGCAGATAATGACAGTAGACGAGTGAAGAAGTGAATATATCACACCCTCACATTCTTCTTATTGAATAAATGTGATGTCACACTACACGGATCATACATCATCATACTCTTCATCTGTTCTTGGACTTTTCATTTTACTTACTTCTTTTCTTCCTCCATTTTGTCTTCATTTGCTTTTGTGGAGGTTTGTGTTTTTTATTTTTTGTTTTGTTGTAACTATTGTTTTATACTTTATTTCTATTATTCTTTATGATTTATTGATTTATTTATATTTAACACGAGGAGAAGATGGTTGAGAAAAGATAAACAAACGAGGTCCTGCAGCTTCCTGGGAGTTCCCTTTTCCAAAGAACTTACAAACCTTAGACATTAGTGTGTGTGTGGGACTTGTTGAAGTTTTGTAAATAAAGAGAATTGAAGTGAACACATGGTTGTCACGTGGGCATCTTAGTGTCACTAATACAAGTGCATTTATGATGTACGTCATGATTCTCCACAGAACAGTGTTTTATATGAACAGCTCTAACAATAAACAGTGAAAGCTCACAGCAGGAAAGCTCACACTGAAACAGTCACACGGCGCCATCTGTCGGCTGTCTCCAGAACTGCACCATTAAATACATCTGCTGCTTCATAAAGTCAGCAGCTGATTGGAGCAGAGGGAAGAGAGGATCCTGAGCCACTGATTGGTGATTGGCATCAGGGGCAGCAGCAGCAGTGAAGAGGAATTGACCTGTGCAACTTTAAATGTGTGTGATGATTCCAAAATGTTCATATATCAACCTTTAAACCAGCCGCACTAGAACCACCTTTTAATGTTGCTCAAACTGTGTGTGTGCTTTTCTACAAGAGAAGAAACATCACAATGATGTCACACAAAAGCGGCTACACAACTGTACAAATGTTTATTCACAAACAACTCAAACATCATGAAGCAAGAATAAGACTGTGTTCTCACCGATAGACAACAGGCTGTCCAAATTGACAATGTACTCTCTGAAATGCGTCCTGTTTACTCAGGTGTGCCTCAAGGAAGTACTCTGGCTCCCACCCTTTTTGTCGTCTTCATGAATTATCTCTCTCATCTGATTCCCGGTGAAATTCAGTCCTCAAGCAAACCAGGCACTGTGAATGACTGTCTCCTCTGTGCTGATGACACCACTCCACTTGCATCCCAACGACTCCCTTTAATGGTAGACAAAGCAAATAAAGATCTCCTGGACATTGCTCAGTGGGCTAAAACCTGGGGTATGCAATTCAACCCAAGTAAAAAGGAAATTTTGTTTTCCAAAGTCCAATGTACTGTTAGTATTAGATAGCAATATGGCCTACGTGTAGGACTCTACAAGGACTCCATGTTATGACTATGATTTGACTGTCTCTTTGTGACACGTATGTCTTTCGATGTGTGACGTGACAATGACTATATAAACTGTGTACTGCCTTTATTCTGTCTGAGAGAAAGAAACAAGGGAAACCACTGGAACTTGAGAGAAACTTAAATAAACTTCCAGAGTTTGGCGCACCACGATCCGTCTCTGTCTGCTTCATCCCTGACAGTACTAACACTGACATTAAATTCATGGACCGTCCAGTCAAAAAAAAATGGTCAATGAACACCTCCATCTGGGATTCTGGTTCACAAATGACCTCAAGTTTGACAAACAAGTTGACTCCATTTGCAGAAAGGTGGCTTCTCAACGGTTCCTCCTCCGTAGACTCTCCCTCTCTGTTCATGACACGGCCCTATCAACAAGATTGTACAAAAGCTATATCCTGCCTCACTTTGAATATGCATCACCTGTCTGGGCTGCTCTCAATGTGACTCAAACTAACCGCCTGGAGAAACTCCAACGTCGAGCCATTAGGACCATACTACAGTACTCCTACACTCAACCAGTCGCTGAGGATGACTACAAAGAACAAAAAAAGACCACATTGAAACAAAGGAGAAACTTTGCAGTGATGTGCTACAGCTACAAGCTGCTGCATGGACTACTCCCAAAGGCTCTCCAATCCCAGTGTCCAATCATCAAAAGAACCCAAATCCAAACACGGAACAAAACACTGATCCATGTGGGCATAGAGCACCCAACAAGTCGAGCACTGGACCGCTCTTCCATTTTATTTGCTACTAAATTACTAAACAAAATTCCAAGACTGTGGGACTGTCCTTCTCTGGAATCTTTTAAAAATAAACTATGGGACTTTGAGGAAAGGCAGATCTTTGATAAAATGTTTTAAATACCCAGCCGTCAAAGCCTTCGGGCACGACGTTTTGAACACAAAGTTGTAATTAAAAAAAAAAGATAAACTTTAACAGGTCTGAATGAAACACACAACATTGATGGTGTGATAAGACACACACACACTTTATACTAGTACTTCAAGTAGAATGTATAATAACACTCACACGTACACACGGATCACACACACAGCAGAAACTCAGAGCATGTGACTGATGACCTTAAAGACACATGGATTACACAGAATAATAAAACATGGGACTTGTATAGAGCTTTGTGGACACTCAGAGACGCCGTACAAAGGCACAGACACACACTTATGTGTGGCCAGACTGGAACAGGTGGGTTAAGAGCAGTGACTTAAAGTCCTGAAGTGAGTGAGTCTCTGATGGTCTGTGGGAGTGAGTTCCAGAGAGTTCCTGAGGCTTCTGGAGGCTGGACACGTGACAATCACTTGAAATATGTTGTCGTCACGTGACAACAACATATTTCAAATAAGGCGAAAAAAAACCCTAATAAAAACGTCGACTATAGGAAACCATGACAAAACTCATTTAAAACTACAACATAAAACTACTGCTGTAGTCTATACAGTAAGAAAAACGAAAGAAAGTTACATACATTTATTCACGGCCGAAACATACTTCAAACAAATACAAATCTTCCGTAGTAGCTGATATATATCGTCTGTCGGGTCCAAAAAGTCCTGTTCCCATAGACCCAGGTTTAGGTCGCCTCAGTTTAGGGCGTAGGCTTCTCTCATAGCTGTGTCTTTGATTTGTCTGTAGTGTTTGTCCTCGAAGAGAATAGATAGTTTTCCACTGACGTCACGCACTACCCACAATTCCGCAGTTTGCCATTTTGCGAGTTTAGCCGCCGCTAGTTGTAGGTAGACAAATCGGGCCAAATCACTTTTTTGCGCTAAAACATGCCGACTGCCTGCATCGTTTGGGGGTGCAGTAACCGCGTAGATTGTGGAGACATTCCGAAGGCTATTACGAGCCAGGGGAGCGACTCTCGGCAGAGAAAAAACTCTTTAGTTGGCGAGGATCAACCGAGAGGGATTCAACCCTAACCCCCTGGAAAACGGCACTATAAGGTTTGTTCTGACCATTTCATAACAGGTAAGAGCTAAATCTGTGCATGTGTGGTTTATATTCAGAGCTGCGATTTGACTGTGATACTAAGTCTATATAGGCGCCTCGAGCCTCCCATCTAAATGAATGAGAGGGGGGAAAGGGAAGTGATTTGCGGCCTGTGATATCAACTGCTTCGTTCAAAATAAAATATTGATTGAAAGAAATATTGCATCACATACATCATGACGTTTTTTTTAATTGTAAAACTGTTTAGTGAAAGTAAGCCATTTCTGGGAAGTCCACTGGTCTCGCCGCGTTTCATATGGATCCAAATCTCCTGATTCTCAAAGGATCTTGCCTGACAGATTACTCCAGTGTATTATATACTTAACGCGGTCAGTGTCGGCCGAATTCGTAGCTTTAGATGACATGGGTACAGATGATCCATGACAAATTATCTGTGCCAAATGATACGTGCAATATAAGCTTGACTCGCAACATGGCGTTCGCGCAAAGCATCATGGGTAATAAGCACGTGATGGAAAACTATGTATAATGTTGTTTCGTGTCCAGTGGGGGAGCAGGAAGTCACAGAGGGGCTTGTGGGGTCAGAGCATTTATCTGCAAAATATGTTAAAGTTTGTGGACCCTCAGTGTGTTCTATGTTAGTTACAGAGACTCCACATCCAGAGTAACAAGCAGAGAATCAGGATCATACCCAATGTATTGTAAAACTGATGCTAAAGAGTTCGTTAGGGATGTGTGTTTTGATGCAAGTCAGAGTTTGACAATTATTATGGTTCTATCTGGAGGGAACTGTGTGTGTCTGCGCCTTAGAACAAATACATTTATTATTGTTTTTATTACAAACGTTCACTTGTTGCATAAGCAGAGACATGAACAAAGTAACACACTCACATGTGACATCACAACTCTCCACATTCTCCACCGTTCATAGTAAGAACTGAGCCTGTTATACACATGTTGACCACATGATGGCGCAGTGGACTTGTCTCTCATTATATCCATTTATATTTGTCTTCAGCAAATGTCATGGATGTCTTTATTAGCATATATTTATCTTTGTTTGGTTCAGCTCAAAGAGTCCCAGGGCGATAAAACAGCATGTTGCAGTCTTTCTGTCGGTAAAAGCATCGTGTGTTATTGATGCAGAAAAAAGTCCTGTATACAGCGTTAATGTTGTCTCTATAAATACTGTACACAGGCAAATATACAGATCATCTTATGAGTCTGACACTCTTCGGATTACACTCTCTGTATTAAAAGATTGAAGATTGATTTCATTATGATACTTTACAGATCCAACACAACAATTGCAGTATATTGTAACTGCTGCCTCTAGGTGGAGCAGTTGTACTGTCATTACGACTTGAGAGCTGCAGTAAAGAGTTGCATAAAGCCACAACAATATGTGTCGTTGGATTATTATACAGTACAATTTGTGGAAAGCAGTGTGTGCGGGATCATAGGATGGTGAACGGGAAAGCACGCACAGTTTAAAACAAATAGCACTGAACAGCTGTGTGTCTAATGCACACCACAGACACAGAAGACACAGGTTTGACACAACTGCAGCTGCTCTTCAAAGTACCAAGACCGCTGCTATTGCAAAGTGTAGGAGCTATTTGCTTGTAGGCTTGATTACTTTAATTCATTTGCGGGTTTTGTATATTTTATATATTTAGTTATTTTTTTGCTGAAGTTAATTTTTGTATTTTTGGTCATTTAGATATTTTTAGTATATTGGGTTTACTTCAGTTTGGTTTAGTTTTAGTTTAGTGGAACCTGGGGGATAAAGGGGGCAGTACAGGGCAGGCCTTCATGCACCTGGGTGGGCATATATGTTTTTTTTTTACCAGTTCTGGGAGATGCAGCATTTTTGTGTTGTTTGCCTGCAACTTGATAAATAAACCCTTACATACTTTTTGATACATACCTTACATTTTTTTGATTGGACATGTGTTTATTTTGTACTGCGAAAACCATACCCACGGTGTATTTTAGTGATTATTTGAGTTTGGTCTTAAGTTTGGTTACATTTTGTCTGAAAGTCTATTTTTTTATTTATATTTTTTTATTGCATCCGTAGAAGAGATCTACTCACCAGAGACAAATCCAAATATAACAGAAATGATGAGAGTCTTCCGGTGACCCATCTCTGAGAGGGTGCCGGGCTTGATACTCACCTGGCCCTGCTCTTGTGCGTACAGAAAATCATGCTCGCACTGAACGTACTGTATGCATCTGTGACTCTTCTTGACCCACTAGGGTCAGGTGTCACATGTGAAAAAAGCAGTCATTCGTAAATGTCACTTCAATCTACCTCATCACTGACACCCATCTCTAGTGAATGAATCCTGCATAATAGCGCCAGAATACAATTGGACTTAAAAATATACTTTATGAACACATGAGCAGAACTGTTTATTGATGCTTTTTTCACTTTTAAAACAAAAAGAAAGTACTGATACAGATTGTACTTCTATAGAGCGGGGTGCCCACACTTTATCAAACCAACATCTACTTTTACAGATAATAAACTTATGGTTTATGATAATGTGTGATTCAGAAGGATGTGGGATTCATTAACAGGTAATAACCATGTTGTCTTTATTCTCATCCCAGAAAGACTTAGTTCAGAAATGTACTCATAAAAATACAAACTACCACATAATATACTGTATGTCTTTGTGTAGTGTTTATGTTGCAAAACTCACCAATAATTGTTTTCATTCATTTTAGAATTATTACAGGGACTCATTTGCAGGATTCAGATATGATAAAGAAATGTGGAAATAAATTTATGAAAGAGCAGTCTAATGTACACAGATAATATTTTCACATATTCACAGCAGGTCCACTCACAGAGAAGCACCCAAGACTCCAAAGCTGATGCCAGGGCGAACCTGAGACTGTAGCATTAGCTCATGAAACACTCAAACCATTTATCTGTTCTTAACTTTACAATGTGTGTAAGTGCTGGGGGCAACATGTGTGTGTTTGTGTGTAAGGCACCAAAGCCCTGAACCAGAACTGTGTAATGAGAGAAGATAGTGACCCCACATCACCAGCCTGTGCCCACTCAGCGTCTGGGAGGTGCTCACACATCCTTCCCCCTCACACCTCCACAGAACATCAGCCATGAGGAAGGAATAGTTTGGGACCTTCAGATGGAGGGCGTGTCTTCTCTCGAGGAGCACATGTTGTAAATGTAGGAGTACCACATTAGACCGATTAAAAGTAAACGAAAACAAAACAGACAACGGCAAACGTGTTTTTAAAAAAGATTTAATAAATATAAAATCCCACCTCCCAAGAATTAATTTTCATTTAGTTCAGAGAAAAGACAAAAGCTGGTGCAGCCCTGAGACAGAGAGAGCAAAAGATCTAACAGTGAATATTGTAGTTCATGTTTTTCTCTGTTTATGCCTCATGCTCAGGTTAAAACATACATAATCCAACCACATATTAAAATCTATCTAACAAATGAATTGCTCTAAAAACAACTCCTAACTCTGAGTACTTGATGATACTTGAGGCACTTCTGAATGTGAATCATTTGAACCTGTTTCATAAAAAACATTTTCAGTGTTTGTCCAAGAAACCAGCAGCTGACATCGTAAATAGTCCCAACTCTGTGCTGGACCAGTTTCAGTGACAGACTTATTCATCCTCGCTGTGTAAAGGGGGGATTCCGCAGGTCCTTCCTCCCTGCTGCTGTCAGACTGTACAACGAGAACTGCTGAGTCTGTACAAGTGTCACTGATATTAATTCAATAGTCACTTTACCACCTGTAATGTGCAGAACGATGACACTGAAATTGCTGCACTTTGGAAAGAATAAATAATAATAATCTTATCTTCACTCACTCCTGTCAAAACCTCTATGTCTTTGTGTTGATTGTTAATAAACAATAAATAAATCATCCAGCCATAACTTCTCTTAATTCGACATGTGCCTCGTCTGGATTCACTGGAGTGTATTGAGCCACGTCCTGCTGCCCATTCTGGTTCTGGTTCTGCTTCTTTTGGAGTTTTTCCTTGATCCATTTCCTGAAACATCACACATACAGTTAATCAGAGATGAAAAGTTTACAAATGTCTTTCACAGTTTTCCACAGTAGCTACATGTTCTTTTTCATTTAGAATCACATTTTCGCCTCTCTCCCTGGTCCCGTTGCTCTGCCTCAGCTCCACTTGTGTGTCTCTCCTGTTTACTTAGTTCATATTCAAGTTATAATCTCTGTCATTTACCCAGATTATTATTCCCCTTTTGTAAATCCCAAGACAAAACCACTGCCAATGTAGCTTCATCATTCATTGTGTTGAAAACCAGACTGGAAACAGGAGCACTAAGGACACTACAGTGATTCACTCTGCTGTTCTTTTGTCAGTGTCTTATCAAAAGTATGTTATTGTGACCGGAGACTTTGAAGTACAAATCTAGACCACGGTGAAACTTTGAATGCATCCACGATGATTGTAAAATATAAAACAACAAATTACATTGGCCTCACCTCTTCCAAAATGCGAGCGCCGAGAAAATCACAATCGGGCATGATATTGCTAGTCCAATGTAGACAACAAGAAGAGTCTTGTTTGAGCCTGGGTCTGGGCCTGGGTCTGAATCTGAGCCTGGGTCTGGGCCTTGGTTTGCAGCTGGAGGGGCAGACGTAACATCTATAGCAGAAACAATAATATGATTTTCCCTTGGAATACACACTCCATGTAATATTTATAAAATGTAAATGTATTATATTTACCAGAAGCTCGAGGAGGAGCCTCTGTTACATTGAGTTTGAAGTGGTACAGTTTCCCTTCGAGACTTGGGCGTTCATAGATCTGGAGCTTATAGATGTTGCCGTCATTCTTCTGAACGTTGGTCATGACAATCCTCCGATCCTCCACACGAATCATGTTGTTTTTGTACCGTATCAAACCATTATCAAAGTTCAGCAGCGTTTTGTTGTTAACAGAGAGGATGGCGTGAGTGTTGTTGTTCAATCGGCTCCAGAATGTGACTTCTCCTCCCTCTGATGCAGTCAACACGGTGGGGGACAGTGGTGGGTCCATGTGTGCAGCGGCAACAGCAGCTGAACAAAGGAAACAGAAAAATATTGTGGCTTATTACTATAGATTTACAAGATGTCTGACTTCAACAGTTTAGCTGGAAAAGAACATGTGTATTGTTGCCATAATATATAATTACATTTTCTAAAGACAATAAACCAAAGTGAGAGCAAGATTCTCAACAGCAAATAAAATCAGATTAGAAATATAGGTGTGATGATGGACTCTAGACCAGAACTTTAACACATCAAACCAGTAACATCACCTGCTTTTTAACTGCTTTGAAACATTCAGTCAATAACATAGTGTCTAAGACTTATCCATGCATTTGTCTCCAGGTGAGACGACTGTAACGGCTGCTCACTGGCTCCAAACAAGGTGTAAAACAACAGCAGTAGATTCAAAACGCCTCAGCTCGAGTCCTGACTAGAACCAGGAAGTACGACCACATTAGTCCAGTTCTCAGGTCTCTGCACTGGTTGTGCACAGGTCTCTCCATGGTCTTGCACCTAAGTTAGTGCCATATGAATCAGCTCGGACTCTCAGAAGCACAAGGACTGGCCCTCTGCTGGTGCCCGAAGTCAGGACTAGACATGGGAAGGCAGCATTTTCAAAGTTATGCAGCTAAAATCTGGGACAGTCTTCCTGAGGTTCTGAGACGGGCCTCTACCCTGACCAGGTTCAAAACTAGGTTGAAAACATAGAGCTGTGCAAACAACTTATTCTATTTATTACATCGGAGGAAGGATGTAGCAGAGCCGAGGGGATTGCACCTTGGACCTGACGAGGACGTACGGAGCCGAGGGGAGCAGCAGTCATGAGGGGGAGACGCCACATGCACCGGGACGACACGCACGCTGGGACCGCAAGTGGTACGAAGCGACATGCACGCAGAGGCAGAGGAGGACTCTGCCTTCCGTGTGAGTACCCTAGGGGCCCGTAGTAGTACTTGTCGGAAGAGCTAACTGAAGAAACAGTGTTGTGAGCATTTGACTGCCGTTATTGGTCTCCGCGTAGGTGTTCCAGCGTGCAGAGGAGGAGAGCAGCCAGGAGGGATCGGACTGAGTGAAGGAGCGTTGTGACGCAGACTACACGCAGGGGCAGAGGAAACTCTGCCCCTGCGTGTAAGTATTGTAGCGACACTCCACCCTCGTAGCCTCTGGCCCTGTAGTCTCGGACCTCTGTGCTGGCGTTTGTCTTGTGTTCCCAGGTGACCCGGTGCGTGTGGAGGGACCAGGACAGCCCGTATAGCACGTGCACTCTCGTTTTTGAGTATTTCTATCTTTAGTGTTTTTTTGGACGTGCACAATTTGTATGTTATTTTTGTAATAAATCTTTTAATTTGCAATTATCCTGTCTTCCTTGGTAAACAGTGTATGCTCTCACCCAATCATCTCTTATTTACAATAGCTCCCCCTGTTTCACGCACTACTTTGCATAATATCAATAGCCCCACCATTACATATGTAAAATAGGTCTATGTACGCCTCCTGTTCGGTGACACCTCTCCCATCTCTGGAGTGAGAGGACAAGTGCCCAAAAATAACAATTGTAAAACGCTTTGAGTCTGGTGTGTGAAAGGCGGTATATACAAAGATTGCTACTACTACAAGCACTTTGAACTGCCCTGTACACGAATTGTGCTATTACATTTTTATTGTGCTGTATATTAGTCAAACAGGTTTCAGGCTGTTTTACACTGTGTAATTTGTTCAATAGGAATATATTCAATAAACGCAGACTTTAGAATCCAACTACATGATGCGGTCACTGTTTTTCTATAACCAGCACGATGTCTTGCGACCATTAGAGTAGACGATGGTTACATGTTATACCGTTATAGACGATAGTTACATCAGCCGCTCTTTGGCGCTCACTTCTACCATCTACACTAAGACCACAAGACTGCTGCTACTGCATGTGTGAAGAAGAAATACAGGACTCATCTATTCGCGCTATTTATGGATCAAAGTAAGCGACATATTTTCAAACATCCGGAGCAGAGAATACTCACCAGCGACCAGCCTAAAAAACAGGATTTTCCCCCAGAGATCCATAGCGGAGGCTACCGGTCTGCGCTCACACTCTGGCCCCTGGCCCCATACACTCACCTTTTATACTGTCGGGGCTGTCCTATCTGAATTACGTCACTAAGACACGCCCCCGCCGCCTGTCCCGCTACATGTTTCATGAGACATGTGGCGGTAATCAAATACCACTTGTCACTTTAGACAAAAATGATATACCAGGGGCAAAATTCCACCATCAAACCATCAGGGATCATAGTGTAGACCAATTAAAACGTTGGCTTGAATGTTGTGGTCTTCCAGTAACTGGTAGAAAGTTTGAGTAGATAAAAAGGTAATAGTGAGGATTATGCTAACATTATCTAGTTAGTCATTTAAATTGCAATGCTAGCGCCTTCTTTGTTTGTTTTGCTGTGATTAACTTCCATTTATCAAGTTGTTTTTTGTACTGGCCACTCTGTAATTATTTTGATCATATAGTTAGCTACTGTCAGCTGATATTATAATAGATCCATGGGGTCCACGCCAATACTGTCTCTGAGAGAAACTATCGGAGCTAGCCACACTCAATAAACACAAATGATAATCGACACATTTAAATGTTAATGGCAGAATATATTATACATACATTTGTAACACACGTGCACGGAGATTTTCAGAATTATCTGTTATGGTTTTCATGACAAAAATACTTTTTTAATGCGACTAAAGCGACCGCTTTTTAAGTAGGTTATCCAGCCTCACTGTTACTCGCCTGCCACGGGAAAACCTTTGGGAACTATTTTCTTTGCAGTCAAGTGTTTTGATTGTTCTAGGTTACAAATCTCAGCGTTGCACTATAATGAGAACGCGACACGCACACACGCCAGAACTGCTGCTGGTGAGCTGAGGTACTCCATAGTGTATCCAAAATATAAACATGGCGACTATACTGTGAGAGCTCTGAAGACCAAATTCACCACATGTATGTCATGAAAGAAACTTGACTGTTATGAATGAGGGCTGTTATAATATTTATGTTGTATTTTTTCCCCAGTCTACATTGATAAGCTGATGACTCTGCTGTTCGAGTGTGTGGTGCAGGATACAGTGCCGTATCAAGAGCACTCGGACAAAATACATGTGCCTGAACCACTCTGTGGCCAGTATAAAAGGCCTGACAAAAAGGAGGCAGTGAGCAGGCACAGGTCACGATTTTTCAAGAGCAAATAAGGTGAAAAACAAACACCAGAAGATCACATACAACAAGAATATCCAAAATATAAATATATGGGGTCACTAACTTATTTTGCATGACTGATAGTGTTATAATGTACACATTCTATTGTTCATATGTTTATTCACTGAACACTATGCAAGATTATCATCGTTCTATTATAGCTTTTTTCTGACATGCCTGCATGCCTATAAGAACTAAAATATTTTCAGAAAGCAGACATGAGTCAGCCAGGACACATATCTAACTATGAACCAGAGGTGTGGGAAAGACAGGATGGACCTCACTCTCAGGTACCGCCAATATTGATGATAATGTAGTGTTGATCAATTTTCGTAGTATATTTAATTGCTGTATTGCACACTAGATACATTTTGAATGCAAATTGTCACATTTATATAGCACCTTGTCTACTTTCTTTAAGAACTTGACATCGAGGAACCAGTCACCAATCCATACACCAGTGAATGCAGACAATGGAGGCAAAGAGGGTGAAGTGTCTCACCCAAGGACAGTGTGCACCTGCGTAATTTGAGCCGCCAATTCTCCAATCACAAGATGACCAGCTCTACTCTGCACCACTGTAGCCGCAAAATGTATACAAGTGTAGATTGTGAATATAGATTTGTAAGTAATGTAGGGGTAAAGTGATTTTTTTGGGGAATTGGTTGCTTTCAGGTTCTGAAATGTGATTGTCACAGGGTCTAGTGGGTATTTCCTATAAACAGCATTACTTTCAAAAGTCGTATCTAAAAAATAATCAATATAATTTCTAACATAATCAGTCACTGGGTCCATGATCTCTCTGTACAAGACCAACACTTCCTCTTTACTATATAATCCTATAGGCCTTTAGCTGTGATGTCACCTGACACTGGGTCCAGGGAGTGTGGCGTTCATGCTTTTGCTGTGACAGTGCCTAAACTTGCTCTCAGTCCATTATCCATCAGTATTTGTTAGGTTTTATTATCAACTGGTGTGTTGTGAGATAAATGTCAGTGGCTTGTGAACATTCCCACATTCAACATCCAAAAACTTCAATTATCTATGTTTGCATTTAGATACTGTACAATCGTGGTTTAAATGCTCAATGTATATATAAATATGACAAAGTATATTGTATATTTGTTAATATATTTTTTCCACCGGTGCACCAATCTACATTTGGATGCTTATTGTATGTACAAATATGCACGTTATAAGATCTGAAGGAAAAAAAATTAAGACAAGCAATAAAACATTTCAGAATGGCATTTGTGTTGATATTGATGTTTATTGGCCATGAAAATTCAGGACAGGGAGGAACCCCGTATGAGCCACATAATCAGGGAACTCCAGCCTGATACGGGTCACAGCACAGGACGGGATCACGACTCTGATATGCTGGCCTAGGTAAGCCCAACACCACCTGACCACATTCCGGTACGCAAGGTGCCGGTAATTACTGAAAGAAGAGATGTATGGGTTGTCAACCACCTAATTGTTAATCAATTATCCTGCAAAAACTAACCTGTGCACCATTGTCTCTGGCATGTCACCAAAGAGCTGTAAGTATGTGCCATACACTGCCAGTAGATAGTAGTGACGGCGGTAGAGAGCAAGTGGTGAAAAGGTGGTACTGCACCCTAAAATCCCCAGAAAGGGGACGGCGCTCTTGAGCAAGTGGTGAAAGGTGTTACTGCACTTTGTTTTTCAATGAGTTAGCTTCTGTTGGCCTGTGTGTGTGTGATAATGTTTCACAGTTGTCTAAAGTGATTTATGATCACGGTGTATTCTAAAACAAGCAGTTAGGTCAATAAACTAATTAATCTACAGGTCCTCCCTGTTAACGACACGTGTGTGTGTCTGATAGTGATGAGCGGTTGGGAGGGCGTACTAGCAACAAATCAGAAAGGGTGGTAGGATGGACCTGCCGTGGCCTATTAGACTGAGGAGGGTTTGTGATAGGTTGCTCTGTTTAAGGAGACCCTATATAGGCCTCTGATTACACATAAGAATAACTTTTTTTTCTACACCAAACCAGCAATGCCTACTCCTCAAAGATCTCAAACTTTTTTTTTTCATATGAGTTTTTCATTGCTGATGCAGGATGGTTTGTTACACAGTTATTGAGAAACTAGAAGGACTGTGGTGATGAGCCAGGACACTTTTAATATTCTACAACATGTAGTGGTCTATAGTCTTTATGTGTTTTAACTGCTGATTCTACGATCTGTGTTGGTGATTTTCAGTAGTTTTTGGTAAGTCCTCTGAGATGACTACAGTTGTGATTTAGGGCTATACAAGACTAAATTGTATTGTATGTATAGGTGTTTTTTTTATTTTTTTCTGTAACAAGAGGTACTGCATCCAAACTCTGAAAGAGCGACACTTAGGTGTGTGTGTGTGTGTGTGTGATTACCTTATCATGTGGACCAGAGTGTTGCACTAAAACAATAGTTGTTATTTTCCAACTGGTACACCAGTATGAACGATCCGTGTGAAACTCACCTGATGACAAAGGTTCCGTGGAGCAAAAACACATATATTTTTAGTCGCGTTTATCAATCGTAATTAATGCGTTATAATCCTAACCCTATTCATAAGGTAGTAGTCTCTATATCAATTTAATTGTCCAATACAATAAAAATAAGAACCCTATATACATATATGTACACAGTTTGAAACAGAGTAGGTAGATGTGAAACTAGGGTCCTTGGTACAGGTTTTCTTTTACACGAGATCAAATGATTTAAAGGCGTACATCTCTCAGATATACAATTGACACTTGTTACCATAAATAGTCATCTTAAAGACTGATTAAACAACCATATTACATACCTTAAACATTATGTACAACATTTTACCAAAACACAAACCATTAATTAAACATTATGTACAACATTTTACCAAAACACAAACCAATAATTAAACATTATGTACAACATTTTACCAAAACACAAACCATTAATTAAAATACAGATTTTCTTATTATGTAACACTCTCATATTTATTGAGTATAGTAGTTTTGTTGTTTCTTAAAAACCATGATTTTTATTTTGACTCTTTAATGTCTTTGTTAAGTTGATTCCTTCCACTGAGACCATTCTTCCCATGAATTTAGTTCTGAATATAGTTTTTATTAAAGATGTCAGTTACTAACAGATTGTATCGACTTTGTCTTTTTTTTTTTCCAAAGTTCTCGTAGATGTTTTCTGCTAATGTTTTGCAATTTACCGTATACAATGTAGGATAAATAGTATAATCCACTATAACATACAATTTTAACACCAAGCACTGAAAAACAGGATTTAATGAATCTCGATATATTTTCCTTCTGGTCTTTTTTAACTATAGGCTGTGTTAAACGTTGTCTCCAAATGTTGACAACATAGGTGAGGTCGGTATAATCATTCTAGTATCTAAGGTCAGTAATGCTGAGCGGTGTTTTCGTAGATGTTTTCTGCTAATGTGTTCCAATTTACCTTATACAATGTATGATAAATAGTATAATCCACTATAACATACAATTTTAAACACCAAGCACTCAAAAACAGGATTTGATGAATCTCGATATATTTTCCTTTTGCTCTTTTTATGTAAAATAACTATAGACAGTGTTAAACGTTGTCTCCAAATGTTAACAACATAGGTGAGGTTGGTATAATCATTGTATTATCTAAGGTCAGTAATGCTGAGTGGTTTGGAAAGTGTAAAACACCAAGGCTAATTTTCCTTATGTACAGTGTCTGTGAGATTTACAACTCAGATCCTCAACGATGATGACTCCCAAAAATGTTGTTTCTTTTTACCCTTTTCAATTTCCCCCGTCTAG